CACGTAGCTGTATCCTGTATTTTATACATTAGTGTACATGATTGGGCACCAATCGGCATTACCACAATCCCTAAAGGTCCAAAAATTCACCGAAATTCTAGCTATTTGGTTAATTAGGGGTCCTGACCAGAATACTGATGTTTGTTTTTTGACACTGGCGCTGTTTGGCCCCAGCATGGCACTGATTAGCCCCTACATACGAAAAGTTCAAAACAAGTTGCGAAGCCTTCTGGCCATCAGCGGGTGGTGATATATGGCATCCGATTCAGTGGTGTCAAAAATGGGTATCGTATCCGGGATGTGGACAATGGCTAACCACTTCAAATCAAATACTGAAAGTGCTACCCCATGCACAGTAACCCCAAAGGCAGTGGGTACGACTTACTACGTGGTAGCGATGTTCGCCAGCGTAGCTGGTAGAAGAGGTAGTGTTAGCGGCCAAACGCTCTCTGGCAGCCCTTCCACTATGACGTGAGGCAACTAACCGCCCAGTCTCCAAGGCAATCCCATGACATTTCCTATGAAGTAAAATCTCATGATATATCCTTTTGGAGACGCATCTTGTTTCTGTAACAACGTTTTCTAGGCGATGCAGGAGCCATCTGAACCATATACGCCTCCCAATTTCTGTGAATGCAACAGAGAGCACAAGAGGCCCACGCTAACCCCAACACCATTCGACCACACGGAAGACCTTTGTGTACCTTTCCTTATAAACCTTTTCCATCCTCCTCACTAGAACTTTTGAAAAGTGCTCCAGTGCAGCTTTTTAGTTTATAGTAGCGCATCCTACAAATCGTGTTAGCAGCATTGCTTCAGACTCTCCTTGGCATTTTGTAAGAGGGTAGCAAAAATAGATCGCGTGACATACATGCGCAGTCATACATCTTGCTCTCTATGGCGTTCCACATGGTTCATTTTTCATTTCGTTCGTGTTCAAGAATTGTTAAAGCACGTTTTCGGAAACGGACGGCATGTTTCATGCCAACTTTTCTCACCTATATGTGAGTCCCTACAAAATACAGAAACCCGCTCTACAAAAGCATGGTAACCACGAACCTCGCCTTGTTCGGGCCCTATTTTCTGACCGTCGGGATCTCGGGACCTCTACGGTTTCTAGATGTTATCCGTTGGCGCAGATGGCTCAGTGCTAGGAAGCGCCGCTGACGGCGTCCTGTGTGACCATTGGATCTCCGAGAGCCAATCAAGCCCTTTCGATGTATCTGTTTACCCTCTTAGCTGAGGTTGAAGCCAATCAGCATCGGCTCCACATTCTTAAGACATCTAGTTTTTGTATCCATCTAGGACCCTTAACAAAAACGGAGTGCTGGCGCATTCTTGGAAATTTTATGGGATTTCTAATAAGGATTTTATAAAGATGTTATAGAATTTTTTTAGAATTTCATTATCACTTTCTTTTTTTCTCGTTCGATCTCAGGAGATGTAGGTTTATATTGGGCTTGCTAGGGAGTGCGCAGTGGGGGAGTGGGGGGGGGTGGGGGAGAAGGTTGCAGTTGAAGGATTCTTGGTGCAAAACTGGAATCCCCATAATGGAGATGAGAAGATTTTGCCTACGCCTAGGAAGCAAAGAGCTCCGGGCGGGTGAACCAGTTTTTCGTTCGGGAGGAGAGATTTCGCATTTTGGTGGTTGTCGTTTTACAGGAGTCCTTTGAATGCCCCTCCTCGTCCTATCCCACTTGCCCTTATCTTGCCTAAATTCACATCACCACGCTAATACCGTGTGATAAGGCCAATTGAGGTAATCGTAACTCAGTTTACGCGGGATATGATCTGTTAAATACCCCTCTCCCTTAACCCACTTGGCTATATCCACATTACCTAGATAGCCCCGTGCGCAGGGTCAGTGAGGTAATGTGGACAGGGTAAGGAGCATCAAATGTTTGAACCAGTTTTTTCGGTTGAGGTGAGAGATTTCGCGTCTCGGTGTTCCCAGTTTTGCAGGAGCCCTTTGAGTGCTCCTCCTATAACCGGCGTAGGAGATATCTGTCAACCACTGAGTGTTCCTCCTTTTTCCTTCCTTACTCATCCCTCTTCCTCAATCCCCTCTCTCCAAATTTCGGACAGGACATGCGATGAGGAAATACCTTGAAGACAGTGACCGACAGACAGACGAAGCGAGGAAAACGGTTGATAGGGCCATGCACCCGCACCCCCTCCTTAACCGATTTGCCCCTTGCGCATATTCACGTTGCAGGGCCACTGAGGTGACGTGAAAATTGCTTTCGATTTCTGAATGTAAATATATTGGTTTTTCGGTCTATAATTCACCAAGGAATGTTCACATGGAAACTTTCTTCAGAGCGGTGATACAAAGCAACAGGCTGGCGCTATGAATCGGTGTCAATAGAGCGGTGGCAGGCAGTGTCTGCACGGTGGAGGGGCAGCGTAGCGCTAGCGTTGCCTCCCTTGGATATAACCATAGTCACATTCATGGGTACGACTCGTTTAACTCAATCCACAACGACCTTCAAGGGCTCATCGCCTCATTGATCGTGCTGGGCTCGGTTCCGGACACGTATCGATCGCCAACGACGGGTCTCCGAGCGTGTTTCGTTGCTTGGCGATCGATCAATCGTCGAACCCCACTTGGTCTAGATTCGGCGGCGCTCACCCGCACGCAGACACACACGCGCACAGACCGTCACGAAGTTTGCCCCGTCGATTAACGAATTTGAGGCCAAGATGTGCTGCTGTGTTGCTGCGGGTGGTAATTTCCTTCCTTCATCATCACCCACAGTACACTGGACCCGTCTATTTATTCTTCTACTTGCACTTGTGCCTGCACTTGTCGCCGAGAGTTACTTCCTGGTTCACATATCGACTACAATTCTGCGCTGGACTATTTCTCTTGAACACTTCCGTGACTACTTCCTCCTTTCTGAGCTACCTTCCGCTTTAAGGACTAGTCAGATTAGCTGGGTTATCCGTTTTTGGCCCGCAACACACCCATAATGATGTGCACATCGTACTGCACCACATGGCTTAAGTGAGAAAGGAAATCGATGTGTGGTGGGGCCCCCAGCTGACAAGTCCACATAAAGACTTGAAGGGGAAATCACCCAGCAACCATCGTTGTTCCTCTGTTTTTCATCAGGACTTAGTTCCTGGTCAACAAGGAACTAAGTCATGTTGTGACTGAATTCCTTTTCAGTGTTTCTCCCTACTCCCCCCCCCACTCCACCCGTCTATTATCCAAAGTAATCTCATAAATCATTGTGATTTCATATGTTTTCGTGACTCGTTGCGGTTCATTTTACCCGATGGGTGATCTCGACGGGGGTCCTTCTTTTCCTGCTTAGCGGCAAATGAATGGAATGGAATCGATATGTGCGGCCACATCCTGGTCGAGCATTTTCGCCTGGACGTTTCGGCGCCCGTTTATTCGTCTACTGTTCCGTTCTTAGCTTACTTATTCGGTAGTGATTTTTATTTTCCGGTGGTCGAACAAGAGGAAGGGGCACCCACCGGGCTCCTAGATAGGATTTTTGCCGGAATTGGGAGGGGGTAGGGGAGAGTAACCGGAACAGTAAACCAATTCCTTGTTCGCTAAGAACGAGAGTTTCGTATCACGGTAGTACCTAGCTCTGACGACCAAAAAAATTCTGGGTACACGATACCCTATTTGGGGGACCACACAGCATTCTGCTCTTCTGTGCCCTCATCGCCAAGATAGTATCTCCTGTGTTTTAGTTGCTCCACTGAGGGTTTCTTTGAGGTAACATTGTAATTTTAGGGATAGAACATGAACTTAACGCGTTGCAGGATCGCGTATTCCAATAAGGTGGGGCATTTAGCGCTGAAAAGTACGAGTTAGACGGAGATTTTTTTCCCATGCCTAGGAGGGAAAAAACTTTGGGATAGGTGAATCATTCTTTTGTCCAAAGTGATTTCCTCAAGAGGAAATGTACTTGATGCCTCCGGCGAAACCTTAAAGCCGCTCCCCCCTACTCCACTAGCGCCCTACCAAAATAGACAGGCGGAAGATTAGCAGCAAAGAGCCACGCTTTTCGTCAGTTCCCGTGTGGTTATTCACTTATCCTTTCCATTCGAAAATGATCAATTTCTTGCGTGGAATATGCTGGAAATGTTTTATGGGTTGTTTCAAAAGTACCTCGGCGAGGAGGGCGCAGAGGAGCAATCTCCGCGTGCCTCTGCTCCCCTCCGCGAAACTCCCTAAATAGTGCCCCCCTGGTTGGTAACAGAGCACTTATTGGGCTTCTAGATGAATTTTTGCCTGTACTAGGAGAGTGAATGAGGCCCGGGCAAGTGAACTAATTTCTTTGTGCGTAGCGGATGTTATGCATTACGGTAGACTCAGCATGGCACAAGAGTCCTTCAATTGGTCCCTTTAGCCAATTTGCACTTTAATGTCCTCATAATGTTTGTTAGCATCACTAATTCGTAGTATTGACTCAATTGATAGTAAGTAGTTAACTCGATTGTTTAGATGTTTACTAGCCCGAAATGTCATTCATTATGAAGGCAGTAGGAGTAGTAATGTCTCTATGCATTATAGCACCTCTTGGAGTTCCTTATCTTCACTTGTTCGCCCAGAATGCCTCGCGACAAAGGTTTCAGTTTGGATGGCCTTGAACTGAAAGATTGAACCCCAAATATCCGCAAATATTGACAGTTTAACCTTCATGCCTAACTGCCAAGAAATGCATTCCAACTCTGTTGCAGCAGGGAGTCATGAAGGAACTGGGGGAAAGTGGGGGAGGGGGGGAGGCAGTAGTGGTGCAACGATCAAGTACTCTCTTCCTTTTTTTATGTCGTTTACACTTAAACGACGGGCCTTAAAGGGCATGCCTTCTTTTTGCTTTGTCAAATACGTTTTTTCCTTGCCGCGTTTTCCGCAGCAGATTTTTTCCAACCCGATTTTTCCATACTAGCCATATTCTCTTCTATCTAGGCCTGTTGTTGAACCTACTCTTTTTCATTTGAAGAAATAGTTGACGTGGCGACTGCTCTGTACCTCTATGTCCTCAAGTCTTTCATTCAATCAAGGCGTCAAACTCGTTATTCCGCATCTCACAGCCGATAAGTCATCGTTGTCGCTCCTTTTCGTATGTTAGTGTGGGCGCTGTGGGTTATTTCAATCGATTATATCGACTTATTGATCGATTAGTTGTCCTAATAGATTGGTTGGGAAAGGAAGTAGAGGATTTGCCTTCTTCGAGGATAAGTGGGTGTATCGGCCCATGCAACATACTCGTATTGATTCGCCCCTGGCGTCCGGTTCCACGCATTGTTGAAGCGATGAAGGTTGGTGCGAATGTGTACAAGCTTCTGAGAAGGAGTTTTGGAAAGGCTTATACCCCCTTTGGTTTCCTTGAAGGTTTCTGTGAAAAAAATCCTGTTAAAAACGCTACAGTTTCTGCGTGATAGAAGGGCGATCTAGAAATGCGTTTTGATTCACCATGTTACCAATAAAAAGCGCCAGTAATATAAACACGTGATGTAAGATATTTGACATATTTATGTACGCAAAGGCGAGAGCTCAAACCAACATTGCTGGCTAGTTGACTCGACATAGCACTTTGGCGTCGAATCGATCAGGTCATGGCAGATTACGTCCATTAACGTTTGCTTCACGACCTTATCTCAAAAATGGCAGCAGATAAGATGCTTTACTGTTCTCAAGTTTTTTTCTCAGGACAGTGTCAAAGTTCAACTGTATTGATGTTGATGTTCGTTATCTTCAAAACTTGAAGGGAGCAAGTGATCAATTATCGACTTTTCTGAGATAAGGCCGTCGAATAAAGTGTGTTAGGACGCAGGGTGCCATGACACAGTTGACATGATGCCAGAGTGCTGTGCTGAGTCAGCTAGCCAGGAAGGAAGGTTTGCACTTGACGTCGCGCCTCGGATGTAGTGATTTAAACCTGTACAAAAATAGTTTCGATTATACTTATACACTGCTGGTCGGCTGCGCTTGGCGGACTAACTAGTCCGTTTTCCACGGTTTCAAGAACGTGTACGCTGTGGTGTGACATGTAAGATGTGCCCCCTAATCCCTTCAGTTATCCCGTTTGCTGTGCCGTTCACAATATTGTTTGCATCGAAGTGGACTTAGATATCATATTGATCAGCTGAATCCGCCATATTCGCCTGTATTTACGAGGGAGTAGGTCATGTAAGAACACGCTCTGAATTATGGTTCATGTTCACTGCATCTGTGGCCCGGCGTGGTCAAGAAGAGTAGTCTGCCGCGGCGCCGAACTCGGTTTTCACTAATGTTGTCGCTTAACCGCTTCAACAACTGGTGGACAAGAAGTTGGCAGCGCGCCAAACCCAGTCGCACTGACACGCCCTATCATCCGCAGCGAACAAGAGTTCAGTGATGTGCTTTAATGTAAAGCCGCCTGAGGGGACTGCTCCTTCAATGGGAATAGGTACAGTATCCTGTAAAAAGGATTCGCAGCTGTTTTAATGGCAATTGAAATGGGAAAATCGAAAATTCCTGAGGACCAAGTTGGGATAACATTCCTGGTGGAATGAGTTATCACCTTTTTCGTGTGATTTTCGCTAAGCTTGATGTTAGCTGAGTTACACATGCGGTGGTAAAGTTTTGGTTTTCAGTGCTGCGTCAACGAGGAGGATCATTAGGCACAAGTGGTTTGAAGGAGGTACCACAGAAAAGCGAATTGGCTATAGTCACCTCAGAATCACAACCGTCATCTTCAATTCGTCGCAAGTCACAATCGTCGCCAGCGTCGCCGCGACAGCAAATGGCGGACGGATTGTCGCCTGCGGACGAATGTGTCGGTCGCGCCGCGACGCCGTCTCAACAAGAAGGCGGTGGCATGTGTTTGCGTAGGTGGGTGAATTACTCGTTATCACAGGTTTCCCTCAATTAATTTTTCGGGTTATATTAGGTGTTTTCTGATCATTACATTTTGATAATAGATAGTTTTAGTTCTAGGTACGCCTTGAGACGACGTCGATCCATCCAACAAAAGATGAAGAGGGGTTGTGCCTAGATAGATTTAGCAGCTACTGCTGATGAGGTGAGAATTTTTTTCCATCTTTTCCTGTAGATATTTATCTTATTTGGGCGCTGATAACGCTAATAACATTGGGAGGGACGCGGCTGCGTTCACAAATTGCTCCAGCGTTTTTGAGCGTACGCCAGCATTTTCAGCGACTGCCCGCAAAAATTTGAAGCTACCCGCGAAAACGGTCAAAATGCTGGCGTTCAGAACGCTAGCTCGACACTTATACTTTTCACTTCGGCAAAGCTCAAACGCGCCCCTGGCCACACGTCGAACGCTCGAAACGCTGACTAGGCAGCGTTCAGTCTCGCGACGGTAGCAGCTTTGGCGCACGTGTGGCGCGATCGATGCGCGCATGCTTTCGAGTGCATCGATCGCGTTGAACGCGCGGCCGAAGCGCTGCCTTCGCGAAGTATGAACGCTGCTTAGGCATACGTAGCCTTACAAATGGGCCTCTCCTCCCAAGGTTGCTGTCGTCCCTATCTGCTTTTCTCTTCAGTCTCTGTTTTTTTGTGTGTCTATCCAAATTTCAATTTAATAAAAGTTCCGCCTACCAACCTCGTGGGGCGCAAACTAACACATTCTTACCATGCCGAGGTTGCAAAAATAGAGAAGCTGAAAATTCTAGATTTCAGTGTTGTAGGCCCGTAGGTCAACAAACAAATGGTGCTGATCGTCGATAAGGGTCATATATCTGCATAGGCTCCCCGTTCTTCCATTTTCAGGAAGGCCTTTTCGCCGAAAGGTTTTTCCACGGTTCTGGAGTGTTCACGAAATTGACCCCCCTCTCCCCCGAAACAAAAGTGAACCGTATTATTATGGTCTTTTAGTTATGCAGAGAGAAAGATCGTTGTATTGGCAAGATGTTTACTTTTTGTACTCTTCGAGTGAAGGGAATGTTTTGAGAGGCAATAACTTTCCTCGAGCCATCAATCCTGGGCGTTCGACCTTGAAGTGTCATCCTCATCGAGGGCCAAGAGTACACACTCGGGCACCCGATGAATGTGTAGATTGAAGGGAAGATGATTGCTGAGTGCAATAGTGTTTGGATAAAATGACGGGGTAAAGTGAGTAGAGCGCGTGGGTGACGTTGAAGGTGTGAATGTGATAACCGATTGATTAATTCATTAGTATTCCTTCCGATATAATGGAAGAAAATGAATATTCATGATGACGCGCTGATAGAATGACGTATTGTATTTTCAGACTGTGCAACCATGTAAACGATTCAAGCCTGAATCACCCGGAGAAGCACGAAAAAAGTAAGACAGTATGCCTTTTTGCTTCTTTTTTTCTAAAACATTTTTGACTTATCGGCTGGGGCATTTTTTTAAGCCTCTTCAAGTTGCCACTTTTTTGTAAGGCCTGCGAATTCTGACAAAATCATGGAAGAACGTTAAGTGTGCTTCTTATGAAGCCGTGGTACATAGTAATAAGCTGAATAAACTAATAAAGTTGGGGGAAGGCGCGAAGAAACGATTGTGATGTGGTAGGATGAGGATTTTAGTCTGAGAAGGGGCGGATTAATAAATTGCCTCCAGTAACTTGTTCACTCTCCCGGGGCGGCTCTTCCCATTGGCAAAGGACAAAATCTTTATTGTTTTGGACCACCATTGCCTTGTCTCACATTCGGCGCACCAAATGCTGCATAACACTGTTGGAAAGATTTGGAAGAAATGGCATGGGAACGAAGTTAATGAAATTCCTTTCATAATAGTTTACTGGACAAGATGGTCCTTCAAATGGACAGGTTTACCCGAAATCCCCTACCCGAGTGAAGCCTATTTTCTGAACTTTATGCAGTTACTGAATACTGTGCTGTCTTAATGTTACTTATTCCAGTAGCATTACCACGGATTATTTGGAACCTCCCTCTGATGGCTCGTGCTACGTCGACCGTTTACCCGATGAAATAGTTCTCAAGGTATCTCCATTATTTTATCCTTTGAAATTTTAATAAATTGTTTACGTATTAGTATATAGCTAATCGATAATTATCTGTAATAATATTTAGTGCGTACCGTTCTTACAGGTCTTCTCGAATTTGTATGAAACAGACTTGGCCAGATGCGCTGGTGTGTCCGGTAGATTTTATCGGATATCTAATGATGTTAATTTATGGTAAGCTGTTGGTTTTCTATTTTTAATTTTTCTCTTTCAATGTAATTGCTATTCAGGAAAACGTTATACCAAGGTGCATTTGAATACACAGTTCCTATGTATCATCCGACACATGGAAAATTCGAATTACGAGAACCCCATAAGTGGCGAGGCACATTAAACCCGTGGAAAGAGAGCTTTCGACAGTTGGTGAGTATTTCATTGAACATTATCATTTGATTTGCACTAATTGTCGATCATCATGTCGACTGTTATGTTTAGCGGCATGCCATTCATGTCCGGCCACGATACGCCCATATTTATGAAGGCCACATTGGAAGAAGTATTCCGCATTTTGAAAACCTTACACAGGCTCTTCAGTGGGTTTTTTTCTCATGATATGCTCTACCAACGAGGGTCTTTCAGGACATGGAGCCATTTTCGAGATCGCCATTGTATATTGCGTGGACCAGAAAAGTTACTAAATTATGGGTTCAAGAAAGCAGGCGGAATGAGTGCGTAGAAGCAGCGAGTGCAGACAACACCACTCAGTCTAGGTAGGACTAATGTCGTTTGGACGCGCTGAGTTTTGGGTGCTGGCTCATTTATGAAGTGAATAGATCACCAAATCCGCTGAAAACTTATATATAAAGAGTTTACGAATATGACATACATTCTTGGCGCTGGCGCTGATGCAGGACACTACGATTATCTTCTAGGCTCAGCCTTAGCAGAGCGCAGATAAGTGTCTTCCATTAGCCAGCAACAAGAAATGGATGTCATATTCGTAATCAGGATGTTAAATTACCCCTTTATACAAGTTTTCTACGTATTTGGTGGTCTAGGAACTTTATCCGTAAGTGAGCTTGCAGGCAATACTGAGCGCGTTCCAAACGGCATTAGCCTCTGAGCAGCCAGACTGATAAACTTGAGTAGCTGAGGTTTACGCTCTACCACGTTGTGTGCATTCACGAAGACGAACTCTAGATTTCACACGCAGATTTTGGGTGTAGCGTATACCGCCTACTGTCCTGAACGTATAATTTAGAAAAGTATGTTTTTATAGTTCATTTTTAGGCGCGTTTCCGTGTTTGCCAAAATGGGTGTTCAAAAACTCCTCAAGTCCACGAGTCTGGTACTAAAGAGCGTTTTTTTTGAACAAGATACTAGGCTGTTTTGAGGCGAGTTTCTGTTCCGAAAAAGTGTTCCTGACGTAGGTGAACACAAGATTAGAAAAATTGCTGGATGCTAGAGTTTTTGGCACCGTGAGGATTCGAACCACTAACGGTTGTTCAGTCTTTTCTGGCATACACAGAAGCGCGCAGGGTAAATAAACCTAACCTCTATGGTCCATGTATGAACATCTACAACTTGTTGAACCGTTTCGAAAAGTGCTACATGTCCTGAAAGACTCACGCTCCATTGTATGGTTATTCGCCTCATTGATGTGCTTTTGAAGATTTCTCGATGCTGAACCGGAACGTGAGAAGTTGATTCTTCTTCATACCGGTCACTTACTTCCCAGAGCCGATTCTCATCAGCACCCCTGTACAGATCATCGGTGCAAGTTCGTTTTTTTTTCGAATTATTTGCATTCATCTTGGGTTGTTGGTGAAAGGAAATCTATCTTACGAATTGCTGTACAGCATTCCCGTCATTCTTGCGATTTTGGCGGCTCGAGTGCCTCGAATAGCCAATGTTTGCGCTCTTCTATTTCTGTCGCCTCTTATTGCGCACGTTTCCGCTGGAATTAGCCGAAACAGCGTTGTGACGGGCATCTGTTGACGCAGCCAGCCCCATTCATAGAAATGACCAACGAAAGTGGATTCTTAACATGGGACAGTTTTGGATTTCGTGGACTTGCTCTAGGAATAGTCAAACATTGAGTTCTACTTGACCACCTTTTGAGCGACATTCTTATGTGAGGTTATCTTTACTAGGTATGGAGTTAGCACATCTTCAGCGTGCTGCAGTAATTGGGTGGCAATTGTAGAGAGATGAGAGGGTTTGCACATGAATGAAAGGGGTCCAAATGTTGTACGACTCTGAATCCGGTCATGTATAGGCAGCGCGTTTTTGGTGTGGTTCAAGACATTCGAAACGCTGCACAAACTAGCAGTGTCCACGCAAAAGTCACAGACCATGGATTAAAGCTGAGAGGATGGAAAGCGGCTCCCTGGTATAGTGGATAGCATACTTGCTAGGCAGTATTCACGCCTGGGGTCACTCCTCCCGCCCACAACTCAGCACTCTTGTGCTAGCCTTTGGAGGAGCGCGAACTATAGCGTCAAACAGCAGCTGTTGTATGGTTAGTGAAACGTTCAAAAACTAGCCCGCTAGTTTCATTTTAGTTGACAAACTGTAGCACTGCCACGTTAAATTAAGTAGGTCCTGGAGCGAAAGCGGCGCACATGACACCATTTGAAATGCTCTTTACATGCAGTCGCCGCAACACGCACCTGTAGCACTGCACATGCCTGCTTTTGCGTCCGTTCTTTGAGCGGACTGCCAGAAACGTGTCGATTTAAGCGCAGTTCGGCTTTGGGAGGGGTATTTTGCATTTTCGCTACTTCCCGTCGTCGTGCCACCAAATAGAGATTTGTGAAATCTTGTGAAGCCAACTGGGACTAGTCAAAGTTTGCAGGGCTGTTTGTCGGCTGTTGTAAAGCAGTGAACACGACGATGGAATGTAGCAAATGTACCCGCCTTCCCCAAACCCGCCCCACCCGACAAATGCGCCCAGGGATTTATTTTCAGTAGCTCTAGTTCCTGCCCGGATATTGGTAGTGCAGCACTGACCAATTTGCCCATCCGTAAGACTTGTTTGGTGAATTGGAATTTTTTTTGCTGAACGAGACGATTTTCCCTAAAGTTAAATACTGGATGATATCGCACATCGTCGACAGTTGGGTTTTAGCTGATCTGATACATTTCTGGTACGCTTTTGTATAACTCATGGTGAGGTAAGCCAGCAAAGAATTGGGGATGCATTCAATGCGTGTTACCATTAAAGCCTCATTATCTCCATAGATCAAGTCCAAAATCTTTTTTACGAAAAGAGTCGTGAAACAGACGATAAAATCAGCGATTGTGATCGCGATTTCTAACCACTCCTCGGAAATCGTGCGGCGGGTGTGGTTGGATTCAAATCGCGTGGTCGCTCACTCTTTGGAGAATGAGGGGTCCGGCTGTTTTGAGTTTTAGTTTTCTGTTCACCTTTTTCTAGGGGTGAACTTGCTTGCGATGGTTTCGTGAACTAATGGGTGCTTTGCGGTACTGCAGTAGAAAGACGAGTTTGGTTGGCTAACGCTTGAGTAAGAAGAAACCAAAAGTATTTAGTTACTATCGCTGCGTCATGCCAGCGGAGTATCGAGAAGTCTATTTGTCAGGGATGGCCCATCTTCACCATCACGCATTTTCCATTCTATATACATGTGTTCTTCAAATCAGGTCAAGGCCTTATTCGCACTCGGATCGTCTCGGAACTGTGTGACCTTGGTGTGACCCGCTAAGTATTCCTGGTTTTTCGCTAGGACAGAGCGCGTGGTTTCAGAAACCTTAAGCACTGACGTTCTTCTTCAGTTCACAATTGATCATGGTAGCTTTTTTGTGGAACCATCACAGGACATATGTAGTCTTTATACTAAAAGTAGACTTTATTGATGTGACGATGCTTATTTGACTGCTGATTGAATCGCAGATCGCATGATCGCATCTAGCGGAAGTTAAAATTTGGAAATCCCGACCAATCTTACTATCAATAATCGCACAGCGGAAGCAACAGGTAAGAGGGTGTTGGCCGTTGGGTAGGTTTTTTGACTACAGTCTGTCTCGTCTACCCCAACGCGGCGAGGGCGGCGCAAGGGGCGTTGCAAATGGTGTTTTATGCCCGACTTAGGCAACAGGGCCCAGTTGAATTGATTGAATCTGAGAACGCTGTAGCGTGTCAAGTCAACTAGCTAGTACTTTTCTTGTATTGTGATAACTGCTGTCTAACGCGCAGTTCGCGCTTCAGAAGTTATCGCACAGCTATGGCGTAAAAGCCATAAGGGTGAGAGGCGTGCTGGTGGCGTAACGGATAGCGCTCTAGGCGATAAGCTTGAGGCTGGGTTTCACCCCCCCCCGCCTTCCCTTCTCTCCCCTCCCCCGAAATTAAGGCTGTTGGCTGTGACTCGGTTTCTTATGATGTCTAGCTACTCGCCGCTTAAACTTGTACGCAAGGCGCAGTTCTGAGGATGTGAATGAACAAGTCGCCCATTGTTTATACTATGAACTGTGGCAGAGTTCACTCTTTTAGTTTTCAACAAACTTGGTTATTTATTACGCAAAGTGTTTACAACCCAATTTGCCGCTTAATCCATTTTCAGGCTCAGCACATGTCAAACATAAAGCGGTTGTGGTTTACAACGCAGAATGATACAACCGGTAAACTCTCGTTGAAGGATCAAGTGGTGCCTATATTGGCTACATAACCCTACGATTCAATCCGGACAAAGCACCACCCGCAGTGCCCCATCAGCAGCACTATGCGCTACAGGTTCGCGGAGTTTTAAAGTTGCTGGAATATTTTTGATCTTGGATGGAAGCGCAATTTCTGGTGATATTATGAAGAGAGGTTGGTGGAAGTGGATGGGCGGACTATTCGCAGAAAAGTTCAACTACCCACGGAGCGCAAGATACGCTTCCCCATATGTTACGCTCAAAGTACTCGCGCCGTACGCTCAAAACCAACACTAGTATGAACACAGCCTGATGTCTTTCTTCGCATATTACGGCTTTGCAGCAAGGTGGTCATTAGGGGTAATCCACTTACCTGGGTGCGTCCTTTCGTGTGCGAGATGGGTAGCCATCAACTGTGAAAAGGGTCAGGAGCGGCCGCAATTAATGGTATGCGCAGTAATGGAATAAAGTTGAGGCTGTGTGATTACTTACATCTTTTATGTCTGCCATGCAGATACGCGCGTAAGCTCCCGCCATGACATACCGCGATACACACACCGTGCTCTACGCCATACGGCCAACCATTCGTGAAGTGGGCGAGCGCAGGCAACAGTGCGGGGATTGGATTTATAACTGACCATGTGGAGTACCTATCGGGTATCGCCATGCGGGCGGGCGGAACATGAGAAATATCAGGCTGTCACGTGCGTCTAGCTGCAGTGCCGGGTTTATGTCTTGCAACACGACAACACGCAACACTTCGCGGCTGGGGACGTGCTCAAGTGCAAATGGGAAGATTTTCGCATGAACCAGACATAGTCAAATAGTCAGACATGGGGGACTCGAACCAGCATCTCCCGCCAAAAAAAACGAACGGGAAGTATCCGGTCCTTACGATTTCATGTTGTTTCTTTATCAAAGACCAGTGACGTAGTTCATCTTCGAAAAGGTCGGCGAAGGGGTGGGGGCGGAGGGGAGGGAATTTAGCACTTTTGTTGCCTTCCACCGAGGTGTTGAGTCGTGTAATAAGGACCCGACTGTCAAATCCTGTGAGGCCGCAAACGATACCAGCCAAAAATTGTAAAGACCCTCTGTCAACTTTTGTAAAGCAGTGGACAGGATGGTAGGAAGCAGCGAAAGTGCAAAATGCCTTCCCTCCTCCCCTTCAATCCGTCGCCAAAGTGCGCTGTTCATCACTGTTCATTTTTCTTCGTATTATATTTTTCAGTTCGTATTTTTCAGGTGACGGAAGAAACCTCCCCTCTTATTGATCGCTGTCACATAAATTCAACATCTTCTGTTGGAGCGGCTGTATGCGTGAAAAGGACGGCAGCCAACCCAAAAGTGAGCCTCTCTCTTTCTTTGGATGTAAAATTTGGAAGTTGACTCCAAACTATTCCATTTAGGTGAGACACTGTACTATCACCGATTGTGAGAACGTTGGTATTTATATAACGGATGGGGCTCAGGTCTGTTACTCTCATGTTTTGTCAGCATTTTTGAACAAAAATCAAATAATAACGGTTTAAGGGCCAATTCGAAGATTGTGAGATCGCTAGGAATTCTCTGGCTGGAGTTTGGGTGAAAAATCAGGCCAATCCTTTCTTCAGAAGGTGTCATATTCATCATGGAAAGGATGTGGGAGTGTTCACGTTCGAGTGAGTCATCTACCAATATTCGCTGGATGGGCGAAAAGAGAACCATTTTCCTCTTCCTCGCTGGTGTGCTCTGAAAGTTATGAAGAGCAGAACGAGATGGTTCTCTGTTTCCTCCCCTACGATCAGCTCGAACGTGCTTCAAGAGCAGGTACATGTAAAGAGTTCATTTATAGATATGGCATGGGCTACTTTGAGAAATGTAATATTCACTCGAATCGCTTAACTCCCTGGAATTCGCAGAGCTGAAGAATAACGCAAAATCTACTGTTTTTCTTTCTTTTATTTTTCTAGGCTTCAGTTGCGAAGTTTCACCATGGCTAACCGGTGCGTCTACATCCATGAAAAAGGTATTCTTTCACTCATTGAACGGCCAATTATTCATTTGCAAGTACATTTATTTCCACTTAGCTCTACATTTCTTTCCATACAGGGATTGAGCTAGAATTTCTCGATTTTTGTTTATAAATACGTTGGAACTGGGACTGTAACGATTCGTTGATCGTTGATCAGAACGTTCTCTCATTGGAATTTTCATCTACCAAGAGCTGTCTTACCGCATCTCTCGAACATAACGCCTATTTTAGTGTGGGAATCTTCGAAGAAAAATGCCTTCTCGCTAAGGCGTCGTGGTTATTTGTTACATCTCGACCTTCTCGCTTTTGCTGAACAGCTACCATCCTTACAGGCTGATTGGCGGAAGTGAGAGTGTGTACTGGCGTTCTTACCCCGTCGCGTCCTCGTCTAAGAGTCAGGTCTCTGGCTGATTTATGCTTAGAAGGCCATGCCCCCCCCCACCTCTTTCGATTGGCTAAACAGCATTTCGACAGAATAAAAATGCCGATATATTCGCATTCATCATACATACTAGTCTGGGCATGTGACAAGACAGTCGTAATATGTCGCAGTAATGGGCGTGGCGAGCAACGCCGCGCTGCACAGACGAGTTTCCTTGCCTAGCCATTTGAATATGGGTGTTAGAGGGATGGAAAATTCGATATCGTCCGTCATAGGATCTTGTATCCGCTTGAATTCGCTGGGTTTCCGCTGCTCCAATCGATACACTGTTGCATGTCGAGAATTTGCCGCGCATGGCAGTATGATACGCCGTGCGGGACGACGCGACAGATTGCGATTGTCTTTTCCGTCTCCCGACTAGTCTGGTATGTCATTGTTCACTCATATAAACCACAAACTGTTTGAACACAATGGTGAGCGGATTATCTTCCCAAGCTTACCAGGATAACGTTTGCTGTCATTGTGAAAATTTAGAGGAATATTGATTGAAGCTATACTTTTAAAGACAGCTCCCGCGATAAAAGTGTCATGGATAGTTGCTGTTCAATTATGAAACAGTAGCTGATAAGTAATTCCCCAGAAAAAGAAAAAAGAGTCCTCAAGAACACCATAAACAAAATCGCGCCCTGACAGTACAAGCCCAAGGCTACAGCATCGCTGATATGTGAGGTGGTGGGTGTACGATCCCCCCTCCGAGAAGGCGGTGTCAGTACGACTATCCCCCCCCACCTCCTTCCTAACACCTCTTGTCAAATCCCCTATTTCCCAGTTTTTTCCCACAGGAATTCCCTCCGTCGAGCGGGTTAGGAGGGGGTATATGCCCGTGTGGAAGCACTGAGAATCACACACTTCTACACTTTTTCCACATTTGCCAAATTTCCATACTTTGCCCCCAAATTTTGCTGCTCGTGCGCGGGGGGGAGGGGTATATGGTAGTGCCCATAGAGCGCGGGAAAATCACGGCAAAAGCCAAAAAACCGGCAGATCCACGCGACAACTTTTCTCAGATGCAATTACGACTCCCCCTCTCTCCCGGGCTACAATGCGGACCCCTTCCAGAAGAAGTACGACACCCCCCTACGTTGTTTCACACAACAATGCCGTAGCCCTGGTCCACCCTCTTGCGGTCTGTCAGCCACACCCAGTACGTGATATCATCGATGGCAAGAAAAACACACAAAAAAACAACAAAAACGAAGGAACAATCTCTTTGAAAAGAACAAGAAACATTGTACAAAAGCTGGCGTCGGTTTAGAGTTTACGGATACTGGCATATTTTAGTGTTGTGAAGTGGCAAGCTTTCCACACGCAAATTGGGTCGCTCGAATTTTACGGCGTTTTACTTTGCCAGGATGTGTCTGCAAGTGGACTGGTGTGTGCTCGTGATTAATCGAAATGAATATGCCGAGCCAGAATCATTCATGCCGACATGAGCGCTGTATAGCACGAAAAGACGATGACATTGCAAAGAGCAACGAGCTGCCCTCCGTCGGAGGGCATCTAGCAAGTGGGCGGTCCAACTGAGCGGCGTTAGAACTAGAACTTTCAGCGGCTGTAGCTCGCTCCTCGCTCGCTGTGGAGTCGCGAGAGTGGGATAGTCTCTAGCTTGGGGGCTGTACTACTTCAAGGAAGGACGACCATGTACTACTCGAGCGCGGGTGCTGTCTTTAGCTCGCAGCGCTCTGCGAGAGAGCGTAGGCGAGGGAGGGCTAATTTTCTGGAAAAGAGTGTGCTAGACAGCGAGGTGGAGGAAAAGTCAGTAACCGCGACTAGGCCAATTTTAAGAGGACTTATGGACGTTGCGGAGGATTTCGTATATACAGGGTACGGTGGGGGACAAGACAGACAGGTCGACATTAGAAGTGCTTAACTTAAAATGCTAATGAATGTGCGAGCAGTCCCAGCTTAGCGCGGAATCTTGGGTGTTATCGGTGGATTGAATACCGATCGGAGGCGCCGTGCCGCGTCGTAGCGACAAAGCGGCAAGATTGCGATGTAGTCTCTGACTTGCTCTCCAGATTAAGCACCACGCTAACTTTGTTCACTAATTTCAGGCGTGTGAGAAGTTCATGAGAAATCGTTCTTACTTTCAAATGCGTTTGTGGTAGGCAGCTCCGATCCGACCATTCGAAAGAACGAAATTTACGCGGGACAACAAGGAGGCGTGTATATTTTTGGTGACGGTGGGTTCATATAGTCGTATATATTTCCACGGAAGTTCTATTACTATGCTTATGAAGCTTTTGTGCAGGACGAGGCCTCATTGAACACAACAACATTTACGGGAACGCATTGGCTGGTATCCAAATCCGAACATGCAGCGATCCGATTGTTCGTCTAAATAAAATTCATGATGGATTGCATGGCGGGATTTATGTGGTATGATCACCTTTTTGGCTAAAGGTCATTAGGGATGTATTTATTCATCATTGAAATATTTATAGCACGAGAAGGGAAAAGGCCTCATTGAGGAGAATGAGGTTTATGGTAATACCCTCGCTGGTATTTGGGTTACAACTGGGTCTTCGCCTATATTAAGAAAGAACAGAATCCATTCTGGGAAACAGGTACGCTTCGATTGCGTTGTATCTATTTTAATTTACATATGGATCAGTGATGTTTAGGTTGGTGTTTACTTTTACGATAACGGGCATGGTCTTTTGGAAGAGAATGACATATTCAATCATCTTTATTCGGGTGTTCAAATTCGGTGAGTGAATACATGACTTGACTTTGTTATAACTTTGTTGTGCCACTGACTTCAAGCTGTTGACTTTTAGAACCGGTTCAAACCCAAAAATTACGAGAAATCGTATTTGGGGTGGTCAAAATGGCGGCGTATTGGTTTACAACGGTGGATTAGGGATGTTGGAAGGTATGTGAGATTCATTTATCTAGTCGTCCGTATTTCATTTGCGCTTTTGCCGCTTGTCGATAAGATGATTGGGGAATGGAGGAGGGGAGGTGTTTTGGTAATTCTCGTGAAAGTGCTGAGCCTTTTTAATTTTTGGGAAGCTCTGTTAATTATTGTAAAGAGTTCGAGTTTGCCTGACACCAACGAGTTTGCTTCTTGTGAGGAATTCGGAAATAGCTGGGAGGGCGAGTGGACAGTACGAGAAAATTGTTATGGCAATTTTTCTGCAAGCTCTGGAGTATGTATGGAGCGTTACATTCGAGTCGCGGCACCGTGCACTCTAGCATTGCCAGCTCGTTGACTAGACATACACAGGTCAGAGAGCCAATAGAATTGAGAGACCTAGCGAGCACTACGAGAGTTGACGCTTTGCAACACTGCCATGTCGAGAGAATTGGGTCCTGGTGCGAATACAGCATGTGTCACAACGCGGGCAACGCCTATTTTGCCCCACTCACCGCGATTGGGAAGCACCCTCCACAGCCGTGCGTAACGGGCCTGGAGCACTAGAAATCGGCGCTTAGATAAGATCGTGTGAAGGGGGAGGGGAAGAAATAGCGCATGCCATTTTTGTGAAGGTAACGACGAAGGGGTCGTATCTAACCGCTAAGCTAATCTGTAAGAACAGGGTCGTGAGGCGCAGGCTATTTCAGAAGTGGGAGCAACCAGCAGCTGCAGATGTCGTGGGAATCGTTTCCAATACGCCACTTCTGCGACACCTAAGGAGATAGCCCATCCTTATCTCACAAGAGTGCTCCGTCGCAAGCTCGTCACTAGTGCGCAGCGTTCCCAAAAATCGTTACCATTGTGATGTCCTCAGGGGGGATTCGCAGTGTTGCGTATCGTGTTGTGAGAGAGCTGCTTAGCGGTGTTATGTGTGATAACTGAGAGAGTGCTCGCGCGTGCGCGCTCGATCGATGTAGAGCCAAGCGCCAGTGCGTGTAGTTGAGTGTGCGTGATTATTGAGTAGAGGTGTGAGTGTGAGAGGATCAGAGGAGAGAAAGATCCTTTCTTGTCACTTGTGGCTGCTGATTACTCTTACTTCTTTAGAGCAAGTGAGTTTTTTGATCGAGAGCGCGTGAGTGTGCTGCGTTTGGGATTCAAAGGATCAGACTCAGTCATCCGGGGGGGACACTTCGCAGAACACGAAGATTTACGACGGACCGCGTATGTGTGGGGTGTGTAGTAGTTAACAAGGAAGAAGTGGTGGAGTGGCTTTTGTATTGACTATTTATTTATTCTGCAGCTTGTTTTTGGGCTGTTTAGATGTATTAGACTGTTGATATTCACGCGAACGATTCAGGTCTTCTTGAAGACAATGACATCTATCGCAATGCACAAGCAGGAGTGTTGATATCCACCGAGTCTAACCCAACACTTCGTCGAAATCGAATTTTCGAGGGGAAAGCTGCTGGAGTAGAGATCACAAATGGTGCTTCTGCAACACTGGAAGCCAATCAGCTTTTTCACAACAAATTCGGAGGTATTTCATCGATGATTGATTTAATCTGTGATTTTTATTTTCTGAATTATTTTAGTTTTCATACGTTTGCCTTTGTAGTCATATGTCTCGCTACGCGATTATGTAAAACCAGTGTTACGCGACAATAAAAATGCTACGACAATCACAACGCGGCGGTGAGAGAGCTGTCGGACGAGGCCAGTGTCTTTTCAAGATAAGCAGCTGTACGTCGTTCCCCATGCACGATTTTTACCGGTAAGTTTTTTTTAAATCCTGGATTTTGATTTTGCCCGCTGAAAATTCTCCCAAGTTTTTCACCTGCTGTTTCTTGTTCCAGGTGTGTCAGCTGTAACACTACAGATCGAAATGCGATCTGTATTAACTGTATCAAAAATTGCCATCGAGGTCATACTGTCGAGTTCGTGCGTCATGATCGGTTAGTTCATATACTCATCCTCTTTCATACTCATCTGATTCATATTCATACTTTGGATTTCTGTAAGTATGTCGATTGTTAAACAGTTGCAGCACTAATTGTGGGCCTTGGAAGATGGGGCTGGTGATTGGTGATCAGGACCCCCCCCCCCCCCCCCCCCCCCCCCCCCCCCCCCCCCCCCCCCCACCACGTCGAACGCCGGGGATCTCCAGCGAGGGCGGGTGTCTTGCCATTGGGAAAAATGTTCCCAGTTGTTGGTTGTTGACTACTCTCGATTTTCGCTGTATGACCCCTCACTTCCCTCCCTCCGCTCGACGGCAGTTTCTTGGGGAAAACGGTGAGAAGGTGGGAAGTTATGAAGTTGCCCTAATGAGGATATAAAGGATGGGGATGGGAAGGGGGGTGGTACTAAAGAAACTTGAGGAGGGTCGCGTTTTGCAAAAACTTCCCCTAATAGCTGTTTGTGATGAAGTGATAACAACGTTGCGGAGTGAAAGCTTCGCGCGAATAATTCTTCCTTGGTCTGGTACGAATCAACCGCGATTCATTATCCTTATACCTTCTACCTGCTCCCAAGTTTCTACCTTTTTCAACCAAGTCAGCGGCCGAAAATGTTCTTCTCAAGGGTAAATAAGTCTTCCTCCTACATCCAGCGACCAAATATATCCCTTGCTGAAGATCCCCCATGCCTTGTAAGGGGTAAAAACAGTTGGACGACGCGTTTTTAAGTGATGGGAGTGAAGAGTAGTGGTGTTGAAATTAGGATGGGCGGTAGGCGAGTAGTGCAAGTAATGGATGAGGCGAAAATGTGTTCAGGCGATCCACACAGAAGACGTAAGGGTGCCCATAACGTTTGGGGAGAGAGGGGCAGGGCACAGTTGTAAGCACTTGGCGTCTTACCTCCTGTGAATTATGTGCATGTGAATATTGGACAGCGTTGCCAACATCCTATAAGCCTTTTATCACCTGTCAAGAACCCTGTAAACTCCTGTCAGACCTAAAAAATGACTGGTCAAGATTCGGAGAGAAAATGGGTTCCAGTGACTAATGCCATTTCGCAAGGCTTGATAGGAGTTTACAGGGTAATTAACAAGACTTGCAAGGCGAGGCACGATTGTATAAAGGCGAAAGAAAAAAAACAAAGTTAAACACTTACAATGGAAAAGCCAGGTGGTCTGTCACACCCTTTCCCTTTAAGGTTACAGTCTAGTTCTCTACGGACGAAGGGACGTGTCAAGCGATGAGTTTGGCGCGGTGTCAAAAAGCAAATGACAAGACTGTATCATATCGTTCTTATCACTCGTTTTCTACCAATTCTTGTCGCATACCCGCTTCGACAACGAGCAGAGAACGGGTTTGGCACCGTGGCACTATCATAATCCCTGACACGCCTCTTCGTTCGCAGCGAACTAGCGTATTTTTACTGTTTGCGCCAAAGAAACATTTGCATCACTAAAGGGCGACCAGTTAATCAACCCACTGCAGATTCTTCTGTGATTGTGGAGCTGGCACGTTGGAACATCAGTGTCGTTTGCAAACGGAAGTACGCGACAATGACACCGTCTACGATTCGGCCACGCCCACGGGGTCGGACACGCCCAACATGTTGTGATCGGAGTAATCTTCAGTGAGTCGTTGTCTGTGAACACTGCATTATCACTGCCCAGAACGTCGTCTTTCGTTGTCAACGATCTCTTCGAAATGTATCTACTATGCTTGATATTCTTCGTCATTCGTGACGAGCAAAACAAGAGGATGTACGCTACCCAATTCACTATCCCTGTATGTCACGCATAATATTGATTCTCCATATCTGTGATAGACGCTACTGTTGGAGTTGAGCCCAAAATGCCTATTTGATGATGAGTTTTATCCTCCTCTCTCCTCTTCTTCCTCAGATGTGATCAACGTGTGTGTGTTATGGTAATCGCACTACTTTCTCCTCTATTCATCCATTACTTTTCTTTCTCCGTTATTTCTTTTTTTTCTAGCACCTGTCTCGGTGGACATTTAGAGTACGTAGCATTGATATTTCACGTTATAGCTACGTGCGTACATACACTTTAAAAAGAATTGACTTTACACAGGTTCTACCCCATCTTTCGATCGATGAAGCGTTGTGTTCTTTACTAGCACTCAGATTCTAATACTACTAGCTCTTTCATTATTGTCTTATTCATGTTCTTAATTCACCGAATGTTGTTCGAGTTCTGTTTTGTAATATGTCTGGATTAAAGAAGTCAGTAGGGCGAGCAGGGTGGCGCGAGCCTCAGAAAAACACGTCATTGTATGCGTGTTTCCTAAACGCTCGGCCAATTGACTACTTTTACAGCCACGTCCACCCAGCAACCGTAATGGCCACGACGTCTTTAGCCCGGGAATCAACCTTCAATGTTCGATTAGTTCAGTATGTTAGGACGATATTATTGTACCCTAGGTGTTTTTATTTGTTAATGCACGCTTTCATTTGACGAACATCGTCAAACGCTTTTATTGCTTTTGCTCGTTTTACATGTTTCGTTTCGTTTATTTTTTGTGGAGTTTTGATAACTAAATTTGCTGCGTTTCTCTCTTTTTTGAATAGGCCCGCGTCTCATGGATGTTTTGAAGCTGATATTGTCTTGTTGCCTCGCACCTCTCTTCAGATATGAGTCCGCTGCCTTTTTTCTTCGTATTCATATATGATTTTTTTCTCGTGTTTTCATTATTTTGTTGTAAGTAACGTAGAGTTTTCTAGTGGATTGATCCCTTTTAGTCCTGAAACATATGTGCATCGCTGTATGTGATTTCTACTTTCTTTTCCAAAAGTCGCATCGTTGCGAAGAACAACGTTCTGGAATTTTCTTTATGGAAAGTTGAAGATGTTATTGTAATACGTAATAAATCTGAGATATTAGTTCATTTTATTTTTAGCAATAACATTTGTGGCTTGGCACTGATTTATACCGGTAGATCTCTTCCTGATGAAGCTACCAATCCTTCCACTCTTTCTTTAGCTTTACGGTACTTTCGTCCTAAAATTGAGATTTTTATGGAACGTTTAGTGTGAATGCAAAGTGGAAAAAGTCTCAAGTAAAAGTGGGCGGCGCTCTGACGTGAACACGACTGACGCACTGGCACATCAGGTTCAGCCTGGGTGTAGTAGCAGGAAATCGGATGACGGCCATTGACTGGAGGCAGTGAGCATTGCCTGACCGCTGTAGCTGAGGAAGTCACGCGGCGCAACGAAAAGTGCACTCTGCGACGAAGCAGCTTGTGGACTGCAATGGTGTGCGCTGTGTTTAGGCTGCGTTCATGCTTCACGTGCGCTTTGCAGCTGTTTTGATGGCGTGTTTTCGCGCGATGCAAGGCCAATAACGGCTTTAAAGACAATTACTCGCGATCAAGTGTTGCGGGTAGTTGGTGCTCCGTTATGAACCAGCATCCTATAAGTAGCTCTTCAGTAGAAAAAAGAAGGGGGAAAAAACTCCCGGGAACACCCATCGCTTGCCAGGCCGGATATGAAACTCAAGAGAGCTTTTCATGCTCTTCTTACTTCACATCCTCGCTGATTGGAAAATTCAGCGCTATGCAAAACAATGGAACCTAAAACAAGCTGAGAACGTATGAAATTTTTGTCCTGTCACTGCCAGGGTTTGCCGCTTAAAAAAACAACAAAAAAAAAAAAAAAAAAAAAATTCGTCCGCCGAAAGCTCAGATCACCGAAAGATGGAAAGGTTGCCAGAAGCGCCGCGCGCGCACACGTGCCGCCGCGTCAGGTTTGTACGGCATAGAGGCTGGCTGCGAGTCCGCGTTGTCTCGTCCGGCTGAACAGTATTGATGCCGCCTTTGTTGCCGCCGCGCGCAAATGCTCCTAAATTTTTTTTAGCGCCGCGTTTTGAGGACGACAACTGGTAATATGCTTTGTGGACGCGTATGTATGCAGAGTCATTTCGAGGACCACTCGATCACGGGGAGTGTCTTTAAAATCGTTCTAGATAGATATCCTTTCGCTCCTGGGTCGCTTCAAATACTGCCCGCACGCGCGACGCAAAGTTATGAAGCGCCATAAGCGCTGGGTGTTTTTGAGAGGGAAGGAACAGGGCACAGATGAATGGCTGTTGATGAATCCCCAACAGGCGGAGGGTCGTAGTTGTGTTGGGAAAAATTTATTTTGATAGTTGTTGATTTTTCTCGCTATGAATGGACGTTGTTGAAGGGGGCGGGGTCGTAACTTTGGTCATTTTTGGGAGAGGGGGGTCGTATTTACGTTTTGGCGTTGTAGGAGTGCGTGGTTGACTTCTGGCGATTTTCCTGTTTCATGCGTACTATATCCCCCCTTCCTGTCAACTCCATAAAAAAAAGGGGGGCGTCGTACAGACTCGACTAAAATCCCCCCAACCAGTGTGTGCCCTGGGAAAGGAATTGCTTTTCCCCCGCCTTCGCGTGTTCCTCTTATCAGAACCGCGGTGGCGTCGTATTTCCTAGCAAGTTGAAGTGGCACTGAAGCGCTGAAACGCTTATTCAGTTGAGCTTGGTGCAAGTGCCATGCACTCCCACCCGAGTTACAGCCCACTCCATCGCCTGTTTTTGTCGCAACTGGGATGTGCTGGACTACACCTGTCCGCTGCCACGTGTGGGTAGATGGCTGCCTGTGTTTACACCACAGACAATCCAACCTGCCAACGCCTTCATACTGGCTCATACCTTCTAATAGCCTTTCTTCACGTCCGGGCATGTGTTCGATAAGATGTTTTCCTTTGGTTTCGGGCAATAGGCATTGGAATGCAAGCATATCGATCAGACAGAAAACACTCATGATGCAGTACGGTAGTGCAATCCAGACAGGTCATCTGAATGAAGTGCTAATGTTTGGGCTTTAGTTTTGAGGACTTCAAGCTAATGAAAGCAATATTTTTGCTCTCTTCAGTACCCTCTTTGTGCAGCGAAATGCATACTGCTTTTCCTAGTTGGTGAGGTTGTTGCATTGAATGCTTATTGTTTAGCTTTATGTTCCCATCTCCTTCAAAAACCGACGATTTTACCGATGGTACGATACATCAGCTTGTGCTCTGTGTTGATCTTCTCAGTATGAAGCGATCAGTCAAACAAACTAACTTCATCTATTGCACTGAAAACAAGGGCCCTACTAATACTTCTCATGAAAATCTTACGGCCAGTGTAATGCAATAATTTTGCACGGTTCGGAGCCTTTTAGGACGAGATGATGGTCCTTCTCCAAAGTTTTGATGAAATCTTTCTTTGGCGCCAATGACCTTCGGGCTTTCAAAGGACTCCTTGTGCATAACTGGGATTCCACAGATAGGTGAGGCTTTTTGTTCAACTTTAAAAGGGTTGGGGGAGAGCTCCAAGGTTATTAGGTATTATGTTGGAAGGGATGTAATGATACATCCGCAAACAAAAATTTTTTTTTTACTATCACAACATTAACGCAAAAGGAGTAAGTTATTTGAAATACGCCCCATTACTATCTATGGCTTTCTGCAGCGAACAGTGTGAAGTAGGTACGCTTCCTTCCAAAACGTGGCTGGCTGATTGTGAGGCTCTCGAAAAATGCCTTTAGTCCCTTTCCTAACGTCTCTTGAAATCTTTGCCATCCTGAAGGATCGAAAACAGGGTAGATGGAGTTTACGAGACCTAGAAGGTAAGATGGATGGGTGGGGGCGATGGTCCATCCATGCGTTGTCAGGTCACTCTTTATCGTTTTTGCAGTGTGTGTTCTGGCGTTGCCGTGCCGGAAGTGAACACTGGTCTGCTGTCCACGAGTACCCTCAAGGTGGGCCTTTAGCTTTCGTAGCTGAGTCATGTTGACGTTAGCCGTCACTGTCGTCCCCGTTGTCTAGCTTTCAGTACTCCACGCCACGAACGCTCCACCCTATGCACCATCATCTTTTTTCTCTATGAACGTAGAGTTTTGGCTCTTCTTCTTCTGTTTCGTCAACCCACTTGGCGTTGCGCCTTACAGGTGAAGGTCGTTCAGGGCGTGCCCCGCTTTTTCAAAACGGTTTATTGCACTTTGTAGGGCCTTGCCCATGAACCGTAAAAGTGGGCTTCGTTTTTGCTGTGCGGCTCCTGGAATGCCAAAAAAGGAGTGAAAGTTACGTCTATGTACCCCCATATGAGGGACGTTAAGCGCTATACAGGCGCCAAATTGCGGCCGAAGGCCGAAAGTAAGTGTCAAAATCGTAATCAGGAGCATCGATTACCCTTATGAACGAACTTCCAGCTAAAAATTTTTTTTTCGATTTTTCGGGTTTTGGTGGACCATTTTTTGGTCGGCAGCGGTGACCGGGGAGAATCCCATCTTCGTAAAGACGATGATGGAACGACGACGTAGCAGGCCACGAGCAGGACAGCAAACCTGGTGGAATGCCTCCCTTTCCTTCCTCTTTGCATGAATTTCATCGGCATTGCCACTTTTATCTTTGGATATTAATAAAATAGGGGGTCCCTATGGCGAGGCACTGTAGACTTCTATAGAAAGACTGTCGGGCACAACCCAACGCACACACCCAAAAAAGTCGAAAAAAATTTTTTGGCCGAAAGATTGTTTACAGGGGTAATCGATGGCCCCGATCATGATTTTCACACTTATTTTCGGCGCCGACGTAATTTGGCGCCTGGGTAGCGC